AACCTAAGCCACCCGGTGATAGTGTAGCTTTTCAAGAATGAAAGAAGTTTTCAAATCGGTTCAGTCATTCCGAAGTCTATTCAACACAAACAAACAGTCAAATCTTTCCTCTTTACAGTATTGGAATAGACAAATAGTGGAAAAAGTAAGACACCAATAGTAATACATACAAAATCACGTTCCTCTGCATAATATAAGCTCTAAAACATCGTGACAAAATGTGATATGACGTCAAGACACGGTGGGAATAAAAAAGAACCGAGTCTACAACGAACAAACGTTACTACCCATTACAAAATCCTAGCACGTACAATATAATTAAGGCAGGACTACGTCGACACAATGCGTTTGTTATTCGATAATACTCAATCGATTGGCTTACGAAGAAAGTATTGAAGCTATAAAATTGAAACCTACCTTTTCAGTTCAATTTTATATTATTTTTTATTGCAGTGATTCTTAAAGTTTCTAATTTATGAAAGGTTTGAGCCCCACGGTGAGAACTTTTCTGATCTGACGACAACGTATAGATGTTACTAAAATAATGAACTGCTTAAAATGCCAATACTAAGTATAGTCGAAGAGTTCATTTTATATTTTTTCTTTGATTATGTATTTTACTCAGAGTAATTGGCTTCGAAGTGAACTTCAATCAAGCCTCTCGGAAACGTCGATCGGGAATTGAAGTACTAACCGTATTGTGGCCACTAAAATATTAACTGACCCATAAATAAAAATATATTGAATTGTAATCTACATTTGCAGAAATTACTCGTGCTAAGTAATATGAAACTTGAGTATCTTGACGTCATAGCGGCGTACTTGTATAGTGTACAAAAAACATTGTGAAATAATCTAAAAATAATGCTGATTAATTTGTTGTAGTTCGCTGTTTAAAACGGCGGGGAGACGGCATGCGGGAGCGGAGGCGTCAAATACCTACGCAAGTATCATGTTTTTGTGCACGAGTTGTACACATTAACATAAGTTTACGTTTGTAAATTGCACGTCTGTTGGTTTTATATTATAATGTGACAGTAGTCAGAATGACACAAGAAACGTTACTTATTACTACTAGTTACGCATTTTAGGTCAATACCTAAAATGCGTAGTGAATATAGTAAACTAAGGAAGCTTATACGTCTTTTCAAATATCTTGGCGGCCCAAGGACATCGGCGCGCTGCGCAATGCTCTCCCCCGCTACACCTAAAATCGTGTTCTGCGCAACGACTCGTGCGAAGTTAAGAGCCGCCAAGATATCTGAAGACATTTTTACCTAGTGTATTGATAGAACACGTTCATTTAACTTAGTCACTGGTCTTTACAAATGTGTCATCATAGCTCTAGGAAATCTAACTCCGTGTTTCGCTGTTTATTTTACTGTTTATCTAAAACAGATACTTTAGTTTTAGAATACTAACATTTTATCATAAGTGGTTTTAATAGTGAAAATCTTGTTTCATTATTATTTTTCTCCCTTATTAATTGGCAAATAATGGTTTTAAATTATTTGATTCGGTCACACAATCTGGCAATTTAAAGCTCTAATGCGAATTTAAGTTTTTCAAGCCTAAGAAAAATGAGTTGCCTTTTACAGACAAGTTACTTTTTTTTAATCTAGTGTACAATTTATTTTATGGCTTTGGGAGCAGGTTAGGAACTGTACAGAACATATCCCACTCCCTTTAAATGGGAAAATAAAAACTAAATACAAATCTATCCTCACCAAAATTCAAAGCCATGATCGATTCTTATATACATTTTATTGATAAACATGTCATGTGAAGGGAAAGCAGATAAAATTTCATCTTAACGTTTTACCTCCTTTTAGGAATTCCCCGAACATCTCACGGACGTAGCCGCAGTTTCTGTTTCGAACCTGTTTCTGACTCGTATTTTAATCATTTCACAATTATTTGTTGGTGTCGTATAATTGAATCGATTTCTTAAATTATCGAAGATATAAATGGTTACATAAAAAATAAAGTATTTTAAGCAACATTTTAAATTTTAGGGACATACATTTTTATAGTTTATAAAAATATTGTTTTCCAAATATTTTGCAAAGTTATTGGTCATATTTTCGTAAATAGTAAGCAATGGACAATCGTGCAAGGCTATCTGACAAATTTAATATTACTTAAGTACTGTGGTCTCTACATATTACTTTGCATTCTACAAGTGTCACAACTGAGTTAAAATATCTGCAACAATAATCACGACGCTAATAATTCTGCAAGTATTTTTATATTGCATGTTTGCTTTGAGGAAGTATGTGTGTCAAGTACTTGACGGCTTACGTCACGGTGGGCATTGCTCAAGTACTCAGCCTGAATCTACCTTCCTCGGCTGTGTGTCTTCATACATTCTCACTCATAAATATTCTTCCCCATTTCCCCTAAGGGCCTCCCTTAATAAGTGCTGGTTTTAGGGCTACCAGGGTTTCTACGGAGCCCCTTTTTTACCATGTCTTTAGAGGACGGGAGAATGAACAGGTTTACGTGGGATTGTATAATTAGCAGACCTATGGTGTCCTAACCTAATCATATCATTCTGTAATTGTTTATTATACCTTGTATATTTTCTAAATAAACAGTTATGTTACTAACGGAAGCGCGCGTGAAATCTGATAAAATAAATAAGGCTTAAAATCACAGTATTAGGTTTATTTATAAGGCTGTAATATCATTTATAAATAAATTACGATTTAAATATTTAATAAAATATTTTAACGAAGAAAGATTTGTTTGTTTGTTTGTTTGTTTGTTTGTTTGCAATAATAGGTTACAAAACTGAACAACCGACTTGAAAAAATCTTTTACTTCTAGGATGCTACACTATCCCCGGGTTCCATTATTTTTTTTACTTTTTCAAGTTTTCTTTTAATTACGGGTGGACGAAGTCGCCAGTAACTCCTAGTACCTAATAATTTTAATGTCAATTAAATAAAAATAAATACCACATACTTGAATCTTTGTGTTAAAATGCATAGTAATTTAATATGTATCTACTAACCTTGCTTACATTTAAACGAGTGTTCTTTTTTATTTTACTTTTTAATTTAAAGAATATATGCAAGGACTCGAATGGTTCTGATTAAGGTGTTAAAGATAAAGGTAAGGTGTTTCACACACGAAACATGGTAAAAATGTAACGTTAATAACGCACACTTTACGTAAAAGTGGATGTCACTTGCAATGGAAAGATCTTAACACCTTAACACAATTATTTGAAAACAATTTTTATAAATTACGTAAAAACTATTATATCAGTATTCTCATCACCAGCAACCCTGACACATAATTGGGATTTTACCCGGAAAACCCCCAATGTGGGAAAAAAATTGGGAAAAAAATCCGGGTTAAATTACCGAATGGGACAATATTCGGGTTTTATAATATTGGGACATATATATTCAAATTATATAGGATATATATAAGGATAACATCTAGTACGCATTGTAACTGTTCCCTGTACTTCAGCAACCACCGAATGTTTCAATAGCCTAACACACAAAAGTTTCATTAGACGATCCTTATGCAATTGATTAACATTCCATCACAATGCGCAGATAAAATCTTATGCTAAAACAAGAAGACGTCTTTTTCTTATAATAAACTGCTGGTTTTATTTTAGTTCCTAAATCAGGCAATTTTGACGTTTCGAAAAACAGGCAACTAGGCCATATATGCGCTGGCGCAAAGTACCTATTTTTCCTACATTTATTCTAAAAATAAAAAAACAAATGATGATTAATTTTTTTGAGATTATGATAATTATGAACTAATTAAACTACTCGTATTGGGTTATTTTCCCATATGCATGCCCGGTTTTTTCCTATTTGGGATATTCCTGTTGGGTATTATCCCACTGTCCATCTCTAGCACATTCCCAAATTTTGGCAGCTTCGTTTACTTGGCATCAAATTTTAATTAACAAATTAACTAAAATTTGCTGCCACGTACAAATAATAGATTTATCACTTCGTTTTTAAAATCACTAGATATGATTTTTAAGTTATTGATCTAAGTAACTTTTCAGATTAATGTAATAAATTAGCTTGCAAATGCGCTATTATATAAACACTCACACAGTATGTTCATATTTTTGTAACTAGACAATAACTTAACCATTATTTAGATTTTTCATATTTATTTATGAACTCTAATGTTGTAAGACCAATATAAATAAACGGGTGGCTTCAAGGAAATTTTTGTAAATTAATCCAATATTTCATATCAAAAAACATCTTTCGTATCTATGATATATCAAGTATCCGATAAATCTATTTAATTTTGATAAAAATAAAAAAAAAACAAAACTTAATGTAGGCATTTTAGGGAGTCTTTAACATTGAAATAATATGTAATTAACGATAAAGAGATATCAAAAATTAAAAACGACAATATAAACATAGAAGTAAGGCAAATGTTACATCCCATTTTGAATAGACCTTGGAAACTTGTTTTGTTTATTCCGTGTGCATATCCTTATAAGATAATATACCTTTATGAGATATAGACATATTCCAAGATCCGGATCCGTTGATATACTAATTTATGTTATAATACAATTTTATCAAACGCGGAACTTTTATATTTCACCTATGACTCTCCATTGGCAATAAATTATCGAAGCAAAATAACTGACCGACACACGCTTTCGCATGTTGCCAAAATAATTCGCCTCAACCTGTAGACTCCCATATCACCAAAATTAACAAATTGTATTTCCTAATTTAATAAAATAATTCGTTTTCCTACTTCCTTATGTTGAATTTAAAACGAAATATCCAAACATGAAACTATAATAACGACTTTCTAGTTACAAATATTTACATTGTCAACCAATCACAATAAAATTTCTGATCTTGAATTAGACAAGAGCAGAGCGTGCGAATTCGAAGGCTTCGAGGCGATTGTATGCGCCGCGAAGGCTTTACAGGAGTGGAATGAACTGGCGTCGCCGAGCGAGCATAGTATCGGCGCGTCGCTCTGACACGGCGCACGCGCACGCGCATAGATACCGAACAAACGTATAAAAGGGCCCGAGCCCCCTCTACTTCTCATTCTCACCACTCTCCTCTTACTAACACAACATGGAAGAACTAGTTCCCAGTCATGGCCATGGTCATGGAGACGATACGGAAGGTGTTGTGCTCGCCAAGGGAGTTTCCATGGCGGTTCTCTTCTGTGCTTCTATGATATGTGGTATTATGCCTCTGTTCCTGGCGAAAAGATTCCGTTGGATATCCACTGATGAGGCGCAGAATTTGAAATCCAAGAATCGCGTGGTGATGTCTTTACTGTCGTTCGGAGGTGGTGTGCTCCTGTCTACCACATTCATGCATCTTTTGCCTGAAGTTCAAGAGAACGTCGAGTACTTACAGAGTGAGTATTCATTTTATTTTCTTTCGATCATTTAATTCATTAATTACATTAATATCTTGTCTTTCGACCTTGATAGTTAACCGGTTATTTTAGTAAATACTAATAACATTGAAGTGATATTGTCATAGATCAGTATTTATGTGATTAATAGGTTTTTAATTGTTATCAGTAATCGGAAATTATATACTCTATATTTTGATACAGAAATTGAATACTTCACACTATGTTACCCGGTGTTATGTTCTTTAATATTATGTTACATCGCTGTATACTAGTTTATGTTAATTATATTGTAACTAGACACTCGGTCGTCGAGGTCGTGATATATTTGAATATATGTATAATGTTAATAAAGTTGTAATCAATTATAAGAATTATTTAAAATTACTATGATTTGACGGTGAAATGATAAATGCGGTTTAATTTGCTTTAGTCTTTGGTCATATGTTAGATTTCGGTATCTAGTTGATATAGGTACATAACAGCTGCCTAAATATCACATTGGCAGAAACTATTTCGAGTTAATAGTTCGGCTAATTACTAAAACGTGCAAAACTATGCATCGCAGTTTTTGCAACAGATAATTATTTACAAAGTTTTACAACATAAGTTAAACATATACATTGTTGGTGTCAACATTTAAAGAATATGACACTGATATAGTAAACAGTGATTATATTATTAGTTGTATTTTTTCCTTATGTATATCCTAAAATTTGATATGAAGAAAAAAAATAGGAAACTATGCGCGGAGTTATGTCTTTACGATTGGATTGTATCTTTTTAATTTTTTTTTAAGACGAAAAATATGTTCGAAAACATACGTATTTTAATTTCCTATCAAATAAACAATGAAATGGTATGTTTCTGTAGTGTAAACCCATGGTAATGCATTTGTAATCGACGTAACAAATGACGTCATAAGTTCAATAGTTTTGGGTCTACTCGTAATGTACTAACGGTCCGTTCGAGGGCATTATCTAATAGATTGTCGGTTGCGCAAGCTGACTCTGGGTATGTGTGCCATTGGCCGCATCGATCGATCGGTCATCATTCTAATGTCTTCAGATTAATAAAACATTTGCCGAAACAACATCGAGCATCTTGTTAAAAATATATCATTTTAAATTTAAAATTAAACAAAATGACTTTTCTCACCTTTATAGCCGTTTTTGATTAGTGTTTCGCGAGTAATATGTCAAAAATTTTGAGAATTCGAATTTCAAAAATTTTCAATTCGAACTAGTTTTTTTTTCTAGAATCAAAACTAACTTGCAGATCTTACTTATAAATATTTAAAATTCTATCAAGGCTAATGTACTTAACGGTTAATAGCATCAAATAGAAATAAACAAGACAACGAGTGTTGCCCGTGTGAAGGCATTATTTTTATTTAGTTACCAAGTTATACAGTTATATCATAAGTTGCTTCTTGATTTACATAAATCGGAAATATAACCTTCAATATTATTATATCACGCAATTAACCTCAATAATAATAATGCGGTAAATTAAAATATAATCTTTTGGTCACAACATTTTAAAATATCGCGATGTGATGTCTAATATTGTACAATCTTCTTGCTAATTTTATAAATACGAATGTATGGATGGATGGAAGTCTGTGAGAAGTTTTCTTAATAGATGCATAAATCTGAATGAAATTTGGTATAAATGTTAGACACTATCTGGAAAAAAAAACGCATAGGCTATTTTTTTAATTTCGCAAATATTGATGACAAATTAAAGGTTATGGATTCGTGATGTAAAATTTAAAATCAATAAACATTAGTTACTCGTAATCGAGATTTCTTTTTCGATCATTCGACAAATGGTCAGACCTGACCGGACGAAAGAAACAAATGCTAGTAGTAGCTTATTACCAATTCAATAAAGGAAATCACACAAACAGAATCAATCGTGCGCTAAATACTAAGCAAGTTAGTATTGATTTTTAAGATCGGTTAGGTAATAAATCAGAACTATTGTCATTACAAACTATTTAAATATTATACGACATAACATTAGTACTGTTGTGTTCTCTCATACAAAAATTAGAAATACATAGATGCGCTTTTTCAATAAACCACATCGAAACATAAACGCGTAAAGCGACGTAATTTGAGAAATTACGCATAAAGACAGCGCGGCAACGTGTAGTTTTAATATGAAAATACCTATATTATGCGTAAAACATGTAACCGTAAACAACTTTCAGAGTGTGAGTTAAATTATTTTGTGTTACAAAATTCAATATTCCCATTAAACTCTTAAATGGTACGTAGTTTTTGTATTACACTACCGTTTAATCGAATTTAATTGTGTCACCCATTGCAGTGATAAGTGATTGTCGTACAATATTTACACTGTTCCGATATTACGCCGTAAAATGTTCATTATATTGGTTGTTAATAGAATTCGTTCAGCTGTTTTTGAGCATTGATTCAAAATTGTAATTTGCTCATATGCGATTGGACACTTTCTTGAATTATATAAAAAGGAATAGTCTCTTCTTCTTTGAAGCTTTCTACAGTTCGATGTAAGGTTTCCGTATAGAAAAAATAATACTATACCATTTTTTAATCTAATTGCGATCCCTGGGTAGTATTATTTGTATAGAAAGGTTTGGAATAAATAACGATCTTTATTTTTTCGATATGACAACGACTGTCGAAGAATTGTCAGGAGAACAGGAAAATGTTTCCTCGGCATTAAAAAGCCTCTGATACTAAACTTTTTACTTCTATCGTTAGTTAATATGTATGTAAAAATAAATGAAAATAAGGCTCTTGTAATATGTTCAAGAAGTAATTTCACAAGTGCCGTTTAATCTTATCATTTGATCCTTATTTCTTAATCAAGAAAGTTATTGCATTTAAGTGGTTGATTATTAATCGGGGAAATAATATTCATTGTTCAAAAGATTAAATGTACACAATGAAATTGATAAAATTATTTCTTTAATTTTATTTTGTAATTATATATGGCCTTATATTGTTCATATAATAAAGAAAAGAAAAATAATATTTACAACGTCTCAATAACGTATGGACTCTATTGGAAAGGCAAGCTTCAATACGCCTTATTATAATAAAATTTCAAGTTATTTCTCTCATAAACATGGCAACATATCTTGTTATGGTTAGGGCTGGCAACTTTCAATTAATGAGATCAGAACACCAGTATTCGGCAAAAAACAAAACAAGGACCATCCACAACAAACTCTTTTGCTTTGGCGGAGGAAGAAAAACACTATGTCATATCATGATATTTAGAGGTCGACAAATTATAAATCTATTAACTTGTTTCAAACCGCCCAAAATAAATCAAAGAATCGATGTGAACCGTAGCTTAAACATGCACCATGCAAACCTAAATAATGCGTGTCGAGCCCAAAGAGGTGACATCCCTAGTTATGGTCCACTTCGCGCGCGGATGTGAGACTGGATTTTTGTTGTAAAAAAAAAATAAAAAAATCGCGAAACTTGTCGGCGGCGGTGGTTTCTTTGACACGTAATTGTCGAATATTGAGTATTTTATAACGAGTTGGGTTCGGTAACTTTCTTAAGACAAAAAAAGGAAAAGATATAATTAAATACCAGTAGTGTATAAAAAAAAATAAGTACTATAACTTAGTGCAGTCATTACGCAACCTTAAATGATGGTTTAAAAATTATTATAAAAATTCTAATGCACAATATCGCCATAAAATTAATCTTGTGTGGACGCAAAGATTAAGTATTATATTTATATTATTTTATACAAACAATGCTATTTAGAGAGAGAGTTAAAATATTTTCCAAATAAGCATACAAACTTTGCCAGAACTAATTGCAAACACATACCATACTAGTTAGTCCACAAATAAAAAAAATGGCTTCTAATCCTTAAATGTACACAATCCATTGTGTGCTACATCTCAATGTCTTCAGCATTCTTCATTTATTACACAAGCAAGTAAAACATAGCAAAAAACCAATATCATTACAAGAAATTTTCATAACTGAAATATTTTTACCATTGGTTATGGTAGACCTTAACAATTATAGGACTAAAAAATAACTAATCACCTGTAGCTGTAGGCTAAATTGCACATTATTTTTAACCAAAAGAACTAATATTATTTTCTACAAAACCTTTTTAAAATTCGACTCTTTTGTGTATAATTAATCAAAATATTTGTATACAATGCAGGAATGTGGTACACCATCTTGTATCGTAGCCCATTTTTATACTCTTGCATCTGCAGAACTGACAATAATCAGGTTTAATCCTTGCCTCGTGATTATTTTGTATTCTTTATTACCTTATATGTCATATGGGTTGCATTCGAAGCTTAAATTTGCTTTATTAAGAAGCTGCTTCAGAAGAAGTTCCAATTACGTATTAAAATTTCGGAAAGAAATACACGCCATTAAATGTTTTCTTGTATATCGAATTTTATGTATCATGATATGATTAACGTTGACAAAGTTAATATTTTAAAGTTTGGAAACGTGGAGTGAATGAATGTGTACGGCAGACATTTAAAATAGAAATTCGTAATAAACTCTCTTCTGACGCGCGGTTCTATTTTTAAATTTCTTAAGTCTAGACAGCCAGCTCTAAAATGACTACACTAAAACGTATTTACTTTTAGACATTCTTCATTACATGTTCCCTCCAATTATAACACTCTCATAACAATACTATGAGATAAAACATAGAGTAGGTTACAAGACAAACTTATTCAATAATGTTAGTATGCAAATGTTTAACTGACCCACAAACAAATCATCCTGTGGTTTACACAATCGTCTTCACAAACCGACAAGACTATTAAGATCATATTTAGTACTCATCTAATGTTAACTTATTGTTTTATTGTCCAGCGAGATATTATCTTAATTATGTATCTTTATAGCTGAGGTATAAATGTCAGAATGGCGCATGCTTTTTGTGTTGTACACGTCGTTTGTCTGGTTTTTAATGTAAACAAGAACGTCTCGTGTTTTTAAGAG